CTGCTGAAAAAGTGAGTGGGCAGCAGGACACAGCCTGGGGCTGGGGCTCGCTGAAGCGCATGGCATTTCTAGCTGTATTATTGCAGTAAAATAGACATAGCATAAAATTGGCCCTTTTAATCACTTTAAAGTGGACAGTTGAGTGGCATTAGGTGCATTCGCACGGTTGTGCGCCATCACCACCCCCCAATCCCAGAACAATTTCATCACCCCAAAGGAAACCCTGTGCCTGTTACACACGCACTCCCATCCCCCTCCCCCTAGCTCCTGGCAGCCACTCGTCAGCTTTCTGTCTCTGTGGATTTACCTGTTCTGGACATTTCATATAAATGGAATCATATGGTACGTGGCCTTTTGCACCTGGCTTCTTTCACTCCTCAGCGTAGTGTTTCTAAGGTTCATCCAAGTTGTAGCCCATATCAGTGCTTGATTCCTTTTTATGGCTGAATAATACTCCATTGCTCAGGTAGACCACATTCTGCTTATCCAGTCATCCATCGACAGACACTTGGGTTGTTTCCACCTTTGGCTACTGTGAATCGTGCTGCTTTGAATGGTCATGTACGAGTTTCTGCTTGAACGCGTGTTTTCAACTCTCTTGGGTATATTCCTGGGAGCGAGATTGCCAGGTCACATGGTAATTCCATGTTTCGTTTTTTGACAAAACGCCAAACTGTTTTCCCCAGTAGCAGTGCATGAGGGTTCCAGCTTCTCATCCTCACCAACGTGTTATTACCTGATTATTACTGTTGTTGTTGTTGTTGTTGTTATTATAGCCATCGGGATCTCATGGTGGTTTTGATCTGCTTCTTGCTGATGACTAGTGATACTGGCACCTTTTCATGTGCTTATTGGCCATGTGTTTGTCTTCTCTGGAGGAATATCTATTCCAGCCCATGCCCATCTTGGATGTGAATTCTTTGTCATTTGATTGTTGAGCTGTGAGAGTTTCTATATGTTCTGAGTATTAGATCCTTAACACATATCTGATAGATTTTTGCTCACTGCCTTGATTTGTCCTTGGATGCGCAAATGTCTTTCAATTGTGAAGTCCAGCTTATCTCTTTTTCTCTTTGGTCGCTTGTGTGGGGTTCCTTTTAGAGGTGGTGAAAATGTTCTCGGGTTGACTTTGGTGATGGTAGCACAACTGTGAATATACTAAAAGCCATTGCATGGGACATTTTAAGCGGGTGAGTCGTGTGCTGTGTGAATTGTATCTCAACAGAGCTGTTAGGGAAACTGAGGTGGGCGGCACACAGCTCTGCCTCCAAGTGCACCATGCCCCGCACCCGCTCAGCGTTCACACCTCCCCTTGGCCTTGGCCTCTGCAGCGCCCACGCACCCTTCTAAGACTTGGCCTGATTGTGCTGCCGTGCTCACCCCCGGCTTTCTGGGGCCTTCAGGACAGAGTCCCGAGCAGGCCCTCTGGGCTCCTCCCGTGGCCTCCACAGCCAGCTTCTTTCCTTCCTCACCAGTCTGCTCGGGGCCCCCATTTGTCCGTCTGCCATGCCAGCCTCTGGGGCCCGTTTTTCCTCTGCTCCTTCGTTTTCTGCACCTGAATCCTGCCAGCCCTCCCCATCCCAGCCCTTCTGTGGTCGCTGCCTTGTCGTGGCCCTGCTCCGTGGCATTCGGGTTTTGCTGATGTCCCACCTCTCTCCCTAAAGCCCAACGGGGCAAGAGTGACAGCCCCCCAACTCCCATGAGTCTGTGCGGAGCTGTGGGAACAAAGTACCATCATCCTGGTGGCTGAAAACAACAAAGACCTATTTTCTCCCAGTGCTGGAGGCCAGAAGTCCTCAGTCAAGGTGTGGGTGGGGTCACCCACCCCCTAAGGCCTCCAAGGGAGGATCCTCCCTTGTCTGTCCCAGCTGCCGGTGGTGGCTGGCCACCCTTGGCCTCCCTCAGTTTGTAGCTGCATCTCTCCAATCTCTGCCGCCATCGTCACGCAGCCTTGTCCCTGTGTCTGTGTCTTGACGTGTCCGCGTCTCTTTCCTTTTTTTTTTTTTTTTTTTTTTTTTTTGCGGTACGCGGGCCTCTCACTGTGTGGCCTCTCCCGTTGCGGAGCACAGGCTCCGGAC